TTGGCTCAGAACAGGGCAGCACGGCTGGCCCTTGGATGTACACAGAGAGCTAACATTAATAATAAGCATGTCAATCTCTCCTGGCTCAAGGTGGAGGAGAGATTGACTTCATAACTACTTGTATTTGTGAGAGGTATTGACATGTTGAAACTACCGAACTGTCTGTTAAAACAACTAGCATACCCCACAAGACATGCCACCAGAGGTCTCTTCACAGTCCCTAAGTCCAGAACATACTATGGGAGGCGCACAGTACTACATAGAGCCATGACTACATGGAACTCTATTTCACATCAGGTAACTGATGCAAGCAGTAGAATCAGATTTACAAAACAGATAAAAAATACACTTTATGGAACAGCGGGAACTGTGAAGCAACACAAACATAGGCACAGACACATGCATACACACACATGATAACATACGCACTATACACAAGCGTACACATGGATTTTGTGTTGTAGATATGTGGTAGTGGAGTAGGGGCCTGAGGGCACACACTTAGTGTGTTGCGAAATATGTTATGAATGTATTGTAATGTTTTAGAAATTGTATAACTGCCTTAATTTTGCCGGACCACAGGAAGAGTAGCTGCTGCCTTGGTTAATGGGGATCCATAATAAATTCAAATGCAAACTCAGTAAAATCTTAGAAAAGTGTTGCATTTTGCGTTAATAATTTTGTTCAGTGTATATTTTCACAAATCGATACTTGGAGTCAACTATCGATAAAAAATAATATTGTGATATGTGACTAACTATTTTTTTTAATTTTTTTATCAGATACGGGAAGGGCCGTTGTGCCGCAAGTGTTTTTTATTAGTTTTTTAAAGAAAATGTTGGCTGTTTGCTTGGGTACAGTGGCTTGTGAAAGTATTCAGCCCCCTTGGCATTTTTCCTATTTTGTTGCCTTACAATCTGGAATTAAAATGGATTTTGGGGGAGGGGGTTGTATCATTTGATTTACATAACATGCCTACCACTTTGAAGATGCAACATATTTTTTATTGTGAAACAAACAAGAAATATGACAAAAAAACAGAACTTGAGCGTGCATAACTATTCTTTACTTCCGTAAAGCCCAGCTCTGTGGAGTGTGCGGCTTAAAGTGGTCCTATGGATAGATACTCCAATCTCCGCTGTGGAGCTTTGCAGCTCCTTAAGGGTTATCTTTGGTCTCTTTGTTGCCTCTCTGATTAATGCCCTTCTTGCCTGGTCCTTGAGTTTTGGTGGGCAGCCCTCTCTTGGCAGGTTTGTTGTGGTGCCATATTCTTTAAATGTTTTAATAATGGATTTAATGGTGCTCCGTGGGATGTTCAACATTTCAGATATTTTTTTATAACCCAACTCTGATCTGTACATCTCCACAACTTTGTCCCTGACCTATTTGGAGAGCTCCTTGGTCTTCATGGTGCCGCTTGCTTGGTGGTTCCCCTTGCTTAGTGGTGTTGCAGACTCTGGGGCCATTCAGAACAGGTGTGTATATATACTGAGATCATGTGACAGATCATGTGACACTTGGATTGCACACAGGTGGACTTTATTTAACTAATTATGTGACTTCTGAAGGTAATTGGTTGCACCAGATCTTATTTAGGGGCTTCATAGCAAAGGGGATGAATACATATGCACGCACGACATTTCCGTTACTTATTGTTTCGAATTTTTGAAACAAGTTATTTTTTTCATTTCACTTCACCAATTTGGACTATTTTGTTTATGTCCATTACATGAAATTAAAATTTAAATCCATTTAAATTACAGGTTGTAATGCAACAAAATAGGAAAAACGCCAAGGGGGATGAATACTTTTGCAAGGCACTGTACTTTGATAGAAGGGAGCTCTATACAATACTGTGCATTGCCTTACATTTGTTTTGGACTTGGGCACTCTGATGAGACCCCTGGTGGTATGTCTGATGGGGTAAGTATATCTGTCAGAACTATATGTAAGTTAATTATTTCTCATTAAAGCAATGCAGACAGTCATGCATCTTGCTGATATTATCCCATTGTCTACAGTGAAGGGCAAGACGTGCTGCTCTTTTCTGGGCCAGGTGCAGCTTTCCTGGGTCCTTTTTTGCAACACCTGACCATATAACCGGGCAATAGTCAAGATGGACCTCTTTATCACAGACAGACTTCTCCCCATCTTTACAACAATAGAATCAGTATGCCTTGACAATGACAGTTTAGAATCTAAGGTAACACCAAGAAAGTTTAGTATCCTTTAGTTGCTCAACAGCCACTTTATTTAGTACCAGATTCAGCTGAGGTCTAGTACGTAGGGAATGCTTTGTACCATATACAATGCTTTTGGTTTTAGTTATGTTCAAGACTAGTTTATTCCTAGCAACCCATTCTACAACTGACTGCAACAACTGACTCTTTGTTTGGGGTTGCAGTGATATCACAAGCTGTGGGTGCTGACAAACTTAATGAACACCTGCTCTTTCCATGACATAATGACCAGGTGAATCCAAGTGAAAGCTATGATCCCTTATTGATGTCACTTGTTAAATTCACTTTAATCAGTGTAGATGAAGGGGAGGAGACAGGTTAAAGAAGGACAGAGCTCTTATCCAGAGAGCACGGTCCAGCAGAGTGGGGCCGCAGTGGTCCAGGCTGTGCCCAGGCAGTTGATTGACTAGGACAGGGAGAGGTAGCTGGAGGGGCATCCGAAGCCATGGAGGGAACACCCAAGCCCCCGGCAGAAGACAGCTGGTACAGGGGCTCAAAGCGAATTTGAAAGTCTTAATTCCGGACGCGGTGGAAGAAGGCAGGCGCGCCGAGAACGATTGTTCTCCTTCTTTCTGGTTCTGACGCATCCATTTACTCTCACCTGGAGTCGAACAGTGAGCAGGCATTTTCTGGTTCAAGCTTGTAGAGGGGTGCAGTGGTGGAAATTGATCATAGTCCAGGGCGTTCCCATTATGATCCTCTTGGATGTGTTGATAGGAAGCATTTAAAAATGCCGATAGTCTCATAGAATCCTTATTCAGTTCAAGGCGCTTGGTCAATTTTTTAATTTTTTTTCATGAAGTGTAATAATCCTTTCTTTAGCTGCATCAAGTTCAATATATTTTTCACAAATGAAGGTATCCATCGGACCTTTCCCTGTGACAACAATGAACATGTGGCATATTATACATTTAATAGCTTGCGAGTACCCCGCAGATTTTTCAAACAGAAATTTGCATCCTGTAGCACTAACTCCAAAAAGTTTTGGGACACTGTAAAGTCCATGGAGAATAAGAGCACCTCCTCCCAGCTACCCACTGCACTGAGGTTAGGAAACACTGTCACCACCGATAAATCTATGATAATCGAGAATTTCAAAAAGCATTTTGCTACGGCTGGCCATGCTTTCCACCTGGCTACCCCTACCCCTGCCACCAGCTCTGTACCCTCCGCTGCAACTTGCCCATGCCCCCCCGCTTCTCCTTCACCCAAATTCAGATAGCTGATGTCCTGAAAGCTGTGCTAAATCTGGACCCCTACAAATCAGCTGGGCTAGACAATCTGGACCCTTTCTTTCTATAATTAGCCGCCGAAATTGTCGCAACCCCTATTAGTAGCCTGTTCAACCTCTCTTTCGTATCGTCTGAGATCCCCAGAGATTGGAAAGCTACCGTGGTCATCCCCCTCTTCAAACAGGGTGACACTAGATCCAAACTGAGCCTTTTCATAAGTGAAATTATGTTGCTCCATTGCCAAATTACGTAACTTCCTAACAGATTTTTCCTCGTTCCTCATTATATTTACCGGCCATTGTGCACTCATTAAATCCCATGCTGTGTATACTTCTTTCATGTAATCTAAATCCCATTTCGGGTTGCTTATCGCTTTATCAATTATACATTTCCGTGCTACTTGTAATTTATCCCTTTTAAAACTACCATCAAGAGGATAGTCATTATCTGTCCATGCTGATAAATCACTAAGATATGGTTCCACATAAAAAAAATATGTGGTGTTGATTCTCTATATTTTTAACAGAGATATGTTTGAGATGCGGATTTGTCTGTAACAATTTCGTCATAGCCTTTCTTTCCCTTTCTTAAATATTTTAATGTGCAGTGGTTGTATGAATTTTGGATCTGTTCTTCCAGAACTGTCCCAGAGTCTGTTTTGAACCATCAACATATATTTTTGCAATATTTTGTAGGCTACCAAGGGTGGCCAACCATCCTCCAGGAGAGCCTTAAAGGGGCAGTGTTGTATTTTGAGACGTGCTGGAATATGCAAAGAAGCCAATAGGCATGGTGTAGCCTACATTTATGTCTGATTCCCTATGGTAATACAATATAGTAATGCATTTCATTTTGTAAAGTGGTTCCTTGCATCATACATTGATGTAAAAATGGTGTTTCAGACCATTTTGTATATTTGGAAAAGTGACGTGAGCTTTTGGACAAGTTAAAAAATCTGTCCTACTTGTCCGAAAGACTGGAGTGATCATTATAGGTTAAAACACTTGAACGTCTAAAACTAGATAGAAAGTGTGTAGAAATTATGGACCTATATATATTTTCAAATAACTGCCAATTTTCTGGCCCGTAAATTGAATTTGACAAACAAATCGGTAAGAAAAAGTATCTGTGTGGCCCTCCGTTGATTTACTAAATCCCAATGTGGCCCTCGAGCCAAAAAGTTTGCCCACCCCTCTTATAACGTGTTATACAGATGTTATAAAGGCTTTATGAATGCATGCAAAAGGACACCTACAGTAAAGTGTTACCAAAGTCAGTCCGTAACTCACCCACAAATACAACCACTCTCACTCTCGGTTACACGCTGTGAACCACAGTTTTGTCTCTTTTGAGGTTGTACTGTATTCTATAAAAGTTCCCAAAATTATTGTTTTTTTGGGAAATCCCAATGAGGGATTCCCTCCTGATTCCCAGGAATCCTCCAACCGGGATTTCTGAAAAACCTTTTGAATTGTGGGAACATTTCCGGAATTTTGCAACCCCAAATCTGAATGCTGAACCCCCAGTCATGGTGCTTCTCTCTGTCATCAATCCCAGGTCCAATGAGCGGCTGGCGGAGGCCAACACCAAGCTGATGAGTGAGCGCCACCGCAGCAAGTCCCTGATAGCCAGCAGCATCGTCAACGGCAGCCTGGGTGCGCCCCTGGACATGGGCTCCCTGGGGTCGGTGGGTGCCTACGGGGCCACGCTGGGGCCCCTCAACAGGAGCCTGGGAGGATCTCTCCTCAGCCCCCTGGGGGATGGGGGCCAGAGCAGCAGGGTGGAGGCTTACCTGGCTAAGGTGAGCCGAGCGTTCTGATCAGCAGGCTGACTGAATTCTGAATGGCAATAGAAAATATGCAGGGACTGTGCTCCACATTGCTTAAAGGGATAGTTCACGTTTTTGAAGATTTTGTATATTTTTGACTTGACTTAACCTTTTTGACTTGTGAGGGGATGTTGCATTGTGTTTCCATGCATTCAGATGTCCTTGGTTTACTTTTGACCATTTTTGTAACATATCCCATCTCCATGGTGTCATAATTGGGAGTCAGCAGTGTACTTTTTATGTTCTTTTTATGTAACTGAAAGAGTAGTTAGTTACATTGTAGTTAATTTTTTTTATAAAAGTGGCTGTCGTTAAATTAAACTTAATGACTAAACTGTTCTAATGCTTTGCTTACAATTCTTTCCAAGTGCTGTCTTTCTTCCTCTTCTCACTAGACCTACAGTGAGGGAAAAAAGTATTTGATCCCCTGCTGATTTTGTACGTTTGCACACTGACAAAGACATGATCAATCTATAATTTTAATGGTAGGTTTATTTGAACAGTGAGAGACAGAATATCAACAAAAAAATCCAGAAAAACGCATGTCAAAAATGTTATAAATTAATTTGCATTTTAATGAGGGAAATAAGTATTTGACCCCTCTGCAAAACATTACTTAGTACTTGGTGGCAAAACCCTTGTTGGAAATCACAGAGGTCAGACGTTTCTTGTAGTTGGCCACCAGGTTTGCACACATCTCAGGAGGGATTTTGTCCCACTCCTCTTTGCAGATCTTCTCCAAGTCATTAAGGTTTCGAGGCTGACGTTTGGCAACTCGAACCTTCAGCTCCCTCCACAGATTTTCTATGGGATTAAGGTCTGGAGACTGGCTAGGCCACTCCAGGACCTTAATGTGCTTCTTCTTGAGCCACTCCTTTGTTGCCTTGGCCGTGTGTTTTGGGTCATTGTCATGCTGGAATACCCATCCACGACCCATTTTCAATGCCCTGGCTGAGGGAAGGAGGTTCTCACCCAAGATTTGACAGTACATCGTCCCTTTGATGCGGTGAAGTTGTCCTGTCCCCTTAGCAGAAAAACACCCCAAAAGCATAATGTTGCCTCCTCCATGTTTGACGGTGGGGATGGTGTTCTTGGGGTCATAGGCAGCATTCCTCCTCCTCCAAACACGGCGAGTTGAGTTGATGCCAAAGAGCTCGATTTTGGTCTCATCTGACCACAACACTTTCACCCAGTTCTCCTCTGAATCATTCAGATGTTCATTGGCAAACTTCAGACAGCCCTGTATATGTGCTTTCTTGAGCAGGGGGACCTTGCGGGCGCTGCAGGATTTCAGTCCTTCACGGCGTAGTGTGTTACCAATTGTTTTCTTGGTGACTATGGTCCCAGCTGCCTTGAGATCATTGACAAGATCCTCCCGTGTAGTTCTGGGCTGATTCCTCACCGTTCTCATGATCATTGTAACGCCACGAGGTGAGATCTTGCATGGAGCCCCAGGCCGAGGGAGATTGACAGTTATTTTGTGTTTCTTCCATTTTCGAATAATCGCACCAACTGTTGTCACCTTCTCACCAAGCTGCTTGGCGATGGTCTTGTAGCCCATTCCAGCCTTGTGTAGGTCTACAATCTTGTTCCTGACATCCTTGGAGAGCTCTTTGGTCTTGGCCATGGTGGAGAGTTTGGAATCTGATTGATTGATTGCTTCTGTGGACAGGTGTCTTTTATACAGGTAACAAGCTGAGATTAGGCACACTCCCTTTAAGAGTGTGCTCCTAATCTCAGCTCGTTACCTGTATAAAACACACCTGGGAGCCAGAAATCTTTCTGATTGAGAGGGGGTCAAATACTTATTTCCCTCATTAAAATGCAAATCAATTTATAACATTTTTGGATTGGATTTTTTTGTTGTTATTCTGTCTCTCACTGTTCAAATAAACCTACCATTAAAATTATAGACTGATCATTTCTTTGTCAGTGGGCAAATGTACAAAATCAGCAGGGGATCAAATACTTTTTTCCCTCACTGTATATATGACTAAATGTCCATCCTGTATCACCTCTATTCTTCTCTCGCCATCTTTCCTTTCCTCCTATTCTTCTAGAGTTTTCTTATATTGGGACTTTGTGCCTAACCTCTCTTCTATTTCTCAATCCTTCAGCTTCTAGCTCAAAAGTCTGTCTCTCATCTCTCCTCTGTTCAGCCAGACTCATGACCAGGTGTGTAGGTGTGTGTTAGCTGACTGACCTGCACCTGCTGCTGCTTCACTCTCCTCTGACCCTCCCCCCTCACCTTCCCATTGGCCCACGCTTGCAGCACTCCACACGTAACCATGGTTTCACAGCATGTGAGAGGGGGTGCATTTGTTTTAGCTTGGCCAGTGCCCCAGGTGGGCGGAGTTTTCTCTTTATGACAAATAGAATGGGCTAAAATCTGCAAACTCCACCCACCCGGTGCACCAGATGACCAAAAGTGAATGCACCCAGTTCTAGTTCAGTTAGTTTTAGGGCTACACATTGTAGCTGCACTAGTGTCCTATCAAGTAATGCAGGGTCACGTTCAGTTTGGCAAACGTTGCAGATAGAAATGGCACGTATAAACCAGGTGTAATTCCTTATTCTACATGTCAGAGAGGCATGGTTGCTCGACATCAGGGCTCTCAACCCTGTTCCTGGAGAGCTACGCTCCTGTAGGTTTTGCTCCAACCCCATTTGCAACTAACCTGATTCAGCTTATTTATTAGAATCAGGAGCTCTAGATTAGGGTTGGAGCTAAAACCTAAAGGACGGTAGCTCTCAAGGAACAGGGTTGGAGACTCTGCTCTACATTATAGGCCTACATTTTACATCGGAACATTCCATAACGTTGTGTCCCACTGAACGCAGCCCAGTTGTCACAGATGTCAAAACTATGATTTCGCATTTTAGAGAGGAATTGAGAGAAATACAATTTGGGGGAAATCCTTGAGAAATTCTGGTCGAAACCCTTCTGAATTCCCTGAACCCGTTTTGCTGTGACAACTGTCTGTCATAGGAGATTTTCTTTAGTAACGATTTGACGGTTTGGGATGTCATTCATTTCAATTCAGTATGAATGTAGCCCAGTAATGTTTATTTAAATATCTTAACATACAGATTTAGCCATCTTTTGACCATCTGCCATTCCAGACATATTTTGTTAATTTATGAAAAAATCAGGCCTTTCATAGAGTATCTTGGTGAAACAGCTTGAACAGGGATTTAATTGTTGGACACATGTTTTAGTCAACTTTTCACAACATTCGCACACAAATGTTTCAGGAACAATTGAATAGATTCAAATTAAATACAATGTGTTCTAGATCTGTTCAATAAAACTGCAGCAAAAGCAGCTACTGTATTGTCTTGCTGAGGTGTTGTGCTTGTTGAAATGATCAAAATGGAGACTCCTCAGAGGAGGAAGGGGAGGACCATCCTCAGTGAATTTCATAAAAATAGTGAAACATTAAAAAAATCTATCATTTTTATATAAAACTATACTAAAAATATTAACGTCACCAAATAGTAGCGTAGCTTCGACAGCACTCTGTAGGGTAGCACCATAGTGTAGCCGGAGGACAGCTATTTTCCATCCTCTACATTATTTATTTAATCTTTTTACATTTTATTCATTTAGCAGACGCTCTTATATAGAGCGACTTACAGGAGCAATTAGGGTTAAGTGCCTTGCACAAGAGCGCATCGACAGATTTTTCACCAAATCGGCTCAGGGATTCGAACCAGTTACTGGCCCAATACTCTTAACCGCTAGGCTACCTCCTCTGGGTACATTGATCTCAATACAAAACCTAGGAGGCTCATGGTTCTCACCCCCTTCCATAGACTTACACAGTAATTATGACAACTTCCGGAGGACATCCTCCAACCTATTAGAGCTCTTGCAGCATGAACTGACGTTGTCCACCCAATCAAATGATCAGAGAATGAATCTAGTACTGAAAGCATAAGCTACAGCTAGTTAGCACTGCAGTGCATAAAATGTGAAAGACAATAGTTGAACAGTTTTGAACAAATATATTTGTTTAAATATGAAGAAGCAAGAGAGAGAGAGCGAGAGAGCTAGCTATATTTAGTAAAAATAAAAAAATAAACTTTCACTTAGCTAGCGAATGTAGCTAGCTGGTTTAGCCTACTCAAACACCTTTATCAAACAGAGAGGGATGCTGTGTTAGCTAGCTGGCTATGGCTATCCAACACTGGAACTCTTCCAAATCAAGGTAAGCTTTTGGGTGTATTAATTTATTGCCACCGGGGCCCGCCGGTGTAACTGCTAAACTGCTTGCTGACTGTACTGCGTGATTGTATCGGGTTTACTAACATGTAGGTTGTAGTAGCTATGTTGACTATGACATTAGCTAATATGGTTTGGCTTGGAACGTTTTTTTTGCCTGGTCATAGCTGATGGGTTGTGCACTGAAGTCCACAAGCGAAGGGAAAAGGTGAGAGGAGAGCACATAGATGCGAGAAGGAATTATACAACGGGCAAAATGATCATGCTGTTTGTATGTGGCTGCTATGAAAACTGTGTTTGCGTGTTATCAGGGGTGTATTCATTCCTCAGATTCTGTTGAAAAACGTATTTGAAACTGAAAATGTCAATATCATGTTAGTAGCCTAAACCTATCGATGTTACATCGAGCTGGGTGAATGGAATATGAATGACAGTCAACCAATATGTTGTAATAGAAATAAGGCCATGCTCATAAAAACAATTAGCGTCCTCCCTCATCTTAAATGTCACCGACTGCCACTGACCTCCCAGTAAAATAATCGAACAATGAACACTGTTCAGTTGGTGTAATTCAACCACTACAGAAATACCATTTGTAGGCTGAAGCAGAGCTTTGCTTGCATGCTCTGTTGTGTTTCAAAAATTGCAGTGCTTTTTCTCATGCAGTTCTGTCTGCCTTTTTCATCAAGCACATTTTACCAACATTAGCTTATGTTCAGTGCATTTAATACCAACAAGTAAAGCGGGCAATTTTCCTATTTTTATGGAAAATGGTCTTCTACTTTTCAGATGGTGCAAGTTCTTGTTGTTTTATAAGGATATCCATTATAAAAATATATATAAAAATGCTGAAAATTGTTTCTTCTTTAAAAGCCCACAGCAGTGATAAAGCTTTTGGTTATACCAAAATAGCTCAGAATATGCTTGCTCTTCTTTTCTAGATGCAGAATGAATTGGAGAGAAACATATCAAAGGAGTTGGACCATGGTAAGTGTTTATGCAGGGACTAAATTCAGTCCAAAACATATGACACGTTTGATAATGTTATCATTTTAATAACAGAATATAACAGAATTGTATTTTCAGATCTGGAAATGATGATGTATTTGTTTTAAAATTCTAATACTAGAGGAACAAGTCCAGATTACTGCAAAAAATATATATATTTTACACACTAGCTTAGAAATTAAGGGTCCTGAACAGTCATTCGGATTTCCATGTAAAATAGCCTTTTGAGTGACAGAAATATCACCTATAATATTTTAAAGAGAAGGTACTTTCTGTCATGGCTAAATGCCTGGAAGTTTGAAAAGACAGGCTGAGTGAGCGGGGAGCTTATATTCATGAGCTTGCCTTGACTGACAGCTCGTTGAAACACCAATGTCAAGAAACTTGGATGCAGTGTTGCAGTAAAATAATCTCAAGCCAATTTGGTGATACACAAAGCAACTCAAACAACATTGATATTGCATAAATAGCTAGGTTTCCATCCAATTGGCAACAGATTTTAATGCAAATATGAGAAAATCCACATTAAAAGAAAATGTGCCTACTCTGGCCAACAGCTCGCAGATACAGTGTGGGTAGGATCTGCAGGTAGGCTAGTCTACATTGTGGATAAGAGCGAGAATGTTTTTATTTGTCAAAATGGCAGTAAAGCATTGACTATCATGTCATCATAATTTATTTCATCTGTAGCCTAATTTAAACCGCATGGATTCCCGAGTCGTAGTGGAAGGACCACACACACCATGTCATCACATGACACCAAGTTTACTTCGATATAATGGTTATTATATCAATATTCTCGCATAAAGGCGTTTCCACCACCATTTCTTGCATTATACATTTCACCGACCCAAAGATCCCACCATGTCGAACGAACAAATTATATGTCTGCGTTTTTAAAATTGTACCGAAACTCCTGTTTCCATCACAGCTGTCGTGATAATTTTTTTAAATAATCACATAAAAACTGTGGATGGAAACGTGGTTATTGATGTCAATTTGTTTTATACATCTCCTGTTTGGCATGTCTATTGTGATGCGGTTCACAGCAACACTGACAGATGTGTTGGCATGACAACTGCGTCAGAGTTTTGAATGACCCTTCCCCCTCTTTTGTTCCATGCTGGCTGAAGACCTAGCTAGCCAGTAACTAGCTAACACCCGACACAGATGAAAGGGGAAACATAAAAGTATCTTTGCCATAGATGAACAGTGTGAACTTTTAATTATATTTGCTGACACCCTACAGTCAAATTTTGGAACCAGTAGAGTAGCTATCTAGCTATATAAACCACGGCCCTCTGAAAACACACCTTCTTCCATGTTGGTTACAAGGCGGTACTTATTTAAATTAGGTAAGAGAATATGATGTTACCATTGGTGTATTAAAATGAGCATTAGGGTGATGCCACACTATCCCCTTAATAATCCCGACTCCTGAATCCAAGTGTTTGACATGTGGGAGGGGACCAGTAACTGTATGATCAAACTTTATCAATGTAGAAGCAACAGTCATTTTTCATACTTTGGTCATCATGCTTTGATCTGGTTTCATCCAAATATCATCCAATTCCATGAAGAACATGATTTTGACTGTTCATACCTTTAAGCATTTCTTTCTCTCCCCGTCTCTCTCTCTCTCCCCTCCCTGTCTTCTCTCTCTTCAGCGACAGCAGAGCTGGAGGGCTCTGCCCGGATGTCTCCGGTGGGCTCTGCCTCAGGCTCCCCTACCAGCCTGGGTCGGGGTCTCAGTGTGGTGGAGGACCCAGTCAGCAGGGCCACACAGCAGTACCTGGAGGTGCTCAAGAAAAACTATATGATTTGACCAACCCACAGCAGGGCCAGGCAGCACTGGGCTGCCCATAGGGAACCACAGCTGTCCATTTTACCATGACCTGGGTGGTGTTCATTAGGGCACGCGGGGGGAACCGTTTTTTTTTTGCAATGGAAGGCAAAAATGTACATTT